AAACCCTAACCCTAACCCTATCCCTATCCCTAACCCAAACCCTAACCCTATCCCTATCCCTAACCCTAACCCTAACCCTATCCCTATCCCTATCCCTAACCCTAACCCTATCCCTATCCCTATCCCTAACCCTAACCCTATCCCTATCCCTAACCCTAACCCTAACCCTAACCCTAGCCCTATCCCTATCCCTATCCCTATCTCTATCCCTATCCCTATCCCTAACCCAAACCCGAACCCGATCCCTAACCCTAACCCTAACCCTAACCAATCCCTATCCCTAACCCCAACCCTATCCCTATCCCTAACCCTAACCCGAACCCTAACCCTATCCCTAACCCTATTCCTAACCCTAACCCTATCCCCTATCCCTATCCCTAACCCTAACCCTAACCCTAACCCTATCCCTAACCCTAACCCAAACCCTACCCTAACCCTATCCCTAACCCTAACCCTAACCCTATCCCTATCCCTAATCCCAAACCCTAACCCTATCCCTAACCCTAACCCTATCCCTAACCCTATCCCTAACCCTAACCCTATCCCTACCCTAACCCAAACCCTAACCCTATCCCTATCCCTAACCCAAACCCTAACCCTATCCCTAACCCTAACCCTATCCCTATCCCTATCCCTAACCCAGAACCCTATCCCTATCCCTAACCCAAACCCTAACCCTATCCCTATCCCTAACCCTAACCCTATCCCTATCCTAACCCTAACCCTAACCCTATACTTATCCCTAACCCTAACCCTATCCCTATCCCTAATCCCTAACCCTAACCCAACCCTATCCCTATCCCTAACCCTAACCCTAACCCTATCCCTATCCCTAACCCTAACCCTAACCCTATCCCTAACCCTTAACCCTATCCCTATCCCTAACCCTAACCCGAACCCTAACCCTAACCCTAAACCCTAACCCTAACCCTATCCCTAACCCTAACCCTATCCCTACCCTAACCCTAAACCCTATCCCTAACCCTAACCCAAACCCTAACCCCTAACCCTAACCCTATCCCATCCCTAACCCTAACCCTATCCCTATCCCTATCCCTAACCATAACCCTATCCCTAACCCTATCCCTAACCCTAACCCTAACCCTATCCCTAACCCTAACCCTAACCCGAACCCCTATCCCTAACCCTATCCCTAACCCAAACCCCCTACCCTATCCCTAACCCTAACCCTAACCCTAACCCTATCCCTATCCCTAACCCAACCCTAACCCTATCCCTATCCCTATCCCTACCCTAACCCTATCCCTATCCCTAACCAACCCTAACCCTACCCTAACCCTAACCCTATCCCTATCCCTAACCCTAACCCTAACCCTATCCCTATCCCTAACCCTAACCCTAACCCTATCCCTATCCCTACCCTAACCCTAACCCTATCCCTATCCCTATCCCTACCCTAACCCTAACCCTATCCCTATCCCTATCCCTAACCCTAACCCTATCCCTATCCCTAACCCAAACCCTAACCCTATCCCTATCCCTATCCCTAACCCTATCCCTATCCCTATCCCTAACCCTAACCCTAACCCTATCCCTATGCCTAGCCCTAGCCCTAGCCCTAACCCTATCCCTATCCCTATCCCAAACCCTAACCCTATCCCTATCCCTATCCCTAACCCTAACCCTAACCCTATCCCTATCCCTCAACCCTAACCCTAACCCTATCCCTATCCCTAACCCGAAACCCTAACCCTAACCCTATCCCTATCCCTAACCCAAACCCTAACCCTATCCCTATCCCTAACCCTAACCAAACCCTATCCCTATCCCTATCCCTAACCCTAACCCTAACCCTATCCCTATCCCTAACCCTAACCCTATCCCTATCCCTATCCCTAACACTAACCCTAACCCTATCCCTATCCCTATCCTAACCCTAACCCTAACCCTATCCCTATCCCTAACCCAAACCCTAACCCTATCCCTAACCCTAACCCTAACCCTAACCCTATCCCTATCCCTAACCCAAACCCTATCCCTATCCCTAACCCTAACCCTAACCCTAACCCTATCCCTAACCCTATTCCCTAACCCTAACCCTATCCCTATCCCTATCCCTAACCCTAACCCTAACCCTAACCCTATCCCTAACCCTAACCCAAACCCTATCCCTAACCCTATCCCTAACCCTAACCCTAACCCTATCCCTATCCCTAACCAAAACCTATCCCTATCCCTAACCCAAACCCTAACCCTACCCTATCCCTAACCCTAACCCTAACCCTATCCCTATCCCTATCCCTAACCCTAACCCTAACCCTAACCCTAACCCTATCCCTAACCCTACCCAAACCCTAACCCTATCCCTATCCCTATCCCTAACCCAAACCCTAACCCTAACCCTATCCCTAACCCTAACCCTAACCCTAACCAATCCCTAACCCTAACCCAAACCCTATCCCTATCCCTAACCCTAACCCTAACCCTAAACCTATCCCTATCCCTAACCCTATCCCTAACCCTAACCCTAACCCTAACCCTAACCCTAACCCTAACCCTAACCCTAACCCTATCCCTAACCCTATCCCTATCCCTAACCCAAACCCTATCCCTATCCCTATCCCTATCCCTAACCCTAACCCTATCCCTAACCCAAACCCTAACCTATCCCTAACCCTATCCCTAACCCTAACCCTAACCCTATCCCTATCCCTATCCCTAACCCTAACCCTATCCCTATCCCTAACCCTAACCCTATCCCTATCCCTATCCCTAACCCAAACCCTAACCCTATCCCTAACCCTAACCCTAACCCTATCCCTATCCCTAACCCAAACCCTAACCCTAACCCTATCCCTAACCCTAACCCTAACCCTAACCCAATCCCTATCCCTAACCCAAACCCTATCCCTATCCCTAACCCTAACCCGAACCCTAACCCTATCCCTAACCCTATTCCTAACCCTAACCCTATCCCTATCCCTATCCCTAACCCTAACCCTAACCCTAAACCCTATCCCTAACCCTAACCCAAACCCTATCCCTAACCCTATCCCTAACCCTACCCTAACCCTATCCCTATCCCTAACCCAAACCCTATCCCTATCCCTAACCCAAACCCTAACCCTATCCCTAACCCTAACCCAACCCTAACCCTATCCCTGTCACCTAACCCTATCCCTAACCCTAACCCTAACCCTATCCCTAACCTACCCTAAACCCCTAACCCTATCCCTATCCCTAACCCCAACCCTAACCCTATCCCTATCCCTATCCCTAACCCTAACCCTATCCCTAACCCAAACCCTAACCCTATCCCTATCCCTATCCCTAACCCTAACCCTAACCCTAACCCTATCCCTGTCCCTAACCCTATCCCTAACCCTAACCCTAACCCTATCCCTAACCCTAACCCTAACCTAACCCTATCCCTATCCCTAACCCAAAACCCTAACCCTAATCCCCTATCCCTATCCCTAACCCTAACCCTATCCTAACCCAAACCCTAACCCTATCCCTAACCCTATCCCTAACCCTAACCCTATCCCTATCCCTATCCCTAACCCTAACCCTATCCCTATCCCTATCCCTAACCCTAACCCTATCCCTATCCCTATCCCTAACCAAACCCTAACCCTATCCCTATCCCTAACCCTAACCCTATCCCTATCCCTATCCCTAACCCAAACCCTAACCCTATCCCTAACCCTAACCCTAACCCTATCCCTATCCCTAACCCTAACCCTAACCCTATCCCTATCCCTAACCCTAACCCTAACCCTATCCCTATCCCTAACCCTAACCCTAACCCTATCCCTGTCCCTAACCCTAACCCTAACCCTATCCCTATCCCTAACCCTAACCCGAACCCTAACCCTATCCCTGTCCCTAACCCTATTCCTAACCCTAACCCTCGACCAAACAATCTTAAGGGAAAGAACAGCCAGAGTTCCATTTTATCTTTTGGGGGAATTATTGTTTAACTTTTTCTTTAGTTTCTGTTGGAATTTTGTTTGTTGGCGAATTCTGTGCGAACTTTTTCATAAAAAGAAAGAAAAGGAAAAGCTGTAATTGGAAAGCGCGCTGCCTGCGGGCTCTGGGCTGGGGAGGCCTGGGCAGCGGGCGGGGCGGGAGCCGGTGTCCCCTGCGCTGCGCGGGGCGTTCATTTCAATGAGAGGAAAGCTCGTGGCTGCACCGGCCACGGCCACGGGACGGCCATCGGGCCGCAGGTCTCAGGCCAGAGCCGGGCGGCCTGCAGCTCCTCCTCCCTTTCATTTGGGGCTGAGCGCCCAGCCACGCTCCCGCTGCAGCCGAGGCGGGGGCCTGAGTGGCCCTGAGCCGGCAGATGGGGGGCAGACCCCCGGCCTGAGGCCTGGGAGCGGCTCGGTCCAGAGTCACCGGTGGTCGCGGCCCTCCCGCACCCAGAGACCGGAGCAGCGGTGCGCCGGCGCCCCCTGGCGGCCCCCGCCCGCCCGCCCGCCCGGCCTTGGCCCACGTGGTTGCCCCCCCCCCCCCCCCCCCCCCGCCGCCGCCTCCCCTCTTCTCCTCCCAAGGGACCCACACGCAGAGGTGGACGCTGCAGCCCGCCCCGGAGGAAGCGCACAGCACAGAATGGGCGTTTGTTCAGTCGCGCAGATGAGCACAGCCGGCGGCTTCTCGCGGGTCCCGGTTCTACGTCTAAGGGGCAGGGGCAGGGCCAGCTGCCTTTGTCTTTCTGGGGGTGGAGGTGGGGGTGGGGTGTGTGTGGCCGTTTCCCTGACTGAGGGCCTTCGAACCCCAAATGCCTGCAGCCTCCATCGCCTCCCCACACACCGGTCCAGGCGGCCAGGCGTGGAGACCTCCTCCACCCACCTGTCCCCGCCCCCTCCTAGAAACTCGGCTGGGGTGCAGGCGGGTCACTTCCCAGGTGGAAGACTGGGTCCCAGCTCCGCTGGGGGCCTTGTCCCCCCCCCCCCCCCCCCCCCCCCCCGCCCCCCCCCCCAGCCCCCCCCCCCCCCCCCCGCCCCCCAGACGCCTCTCAGACGCAGCAGCAGGTTCTGCTTCATCGTTTAATGGCCAGTGCGGTAGAGTTAGTGACAGACGGGGTGGGACACAGCGGGGGGCAGTCGCCACGCAGTGCGGTGGGTGTGAAGGGCAGGCCGACACCCCGGAGTCCCCTTAACTCGCACTGAGCCAACCTAGAGCCCCAGAGGGTCCTGGCTGGAGAGGCGGGGGCCCTCCCTGGGCTTTGCTGGATGGGGGTCAAGGCTTAGGGCTGGAGTTGACTTCAGCCAGGGGTGGGCCCCCCCACTCTGTCCTGTATCAGAGGACGGAGGAGCAGGTCCCGGGGCAGGCGGACCCCCAGGCCCGTGGCATCAGGTGGGGTCCGGGTGAGGGAGGGGTCCTGGGGGTCCAGGCTGGCACAGACTGTGGTCTGACACTCAGACCCGGAGGTCCTGGTCCTCCCAGCAAACCCGGGGTCCAGGAAAGCCAGGGCTAAGGCTGGGGGTGGAGGGCCCAGGTGAAGGGCTGGCTCGGGTGCGGTGATGTTGTGATTGGGGCGATGGAGGGGGGCCCTCAGAGCTGACCTGGGGTTGGGGTCGCCAGGAGGGACGCTGGCTGGTGACTGCTCTCCCGGGGGGACGGCTGAGACTCACGGAGCCCTGGGCGCAGCGGCGGGGAGAGCGGCGTGAGGCACAGGGCACAGTGCGGGCGAGTCCGGGCTCAGCATCGAGAGTTGCGGCTCTAAGACCTTGGCGGGACCCTGGGCCGCAGTGACGGGCGGGTGCGCCCAGGCGGGTGGCGATGTTGGCACAGGAGGAGGCCGGGCCCGCAGGCGGGGGCAGGGCAGGGCTGGTCCCGGCTCAGAGGCCGGCGGGGAGGGAGGTGTTGGTGGCGGAGGTCTCGAGGCAGCCCCTGTGGGCACCCCGGGTGAGGCTGTAGGTGCAGTAGGCCACGGCCGAGCCCAGCGTCAGCCCCGTCATGTAGGACACGGTCATGGTGTTCCCTGCGGACCGGAGCGGACCTGAGCGCCCGGGACCCGGCCGCCGGGCGCACCCCCACAACCCAATCCCACGCAGCCCCTCCGCCAAGGGCGGGGCCGAGACCGGCACCCAGGGACGAGGTGGCCAGGCCGCTCCCGGGAGGGCCGTGCGAGGACTGTCGCCCGTGGGCCCAGCCCTGGCGCCCTCTCCCACCAACGCTCCCTCCACCTCCGCTGATGGCCTTGCCTTAAGCATCGGCCCCAAACTGGAGTCCTTCTGCTCCCCTGTCCCTTTCTTACCCCCCCAACCACCCCCCCAACCCCGTCCCAACCATCGGCTGTGCAGGACCACGGTCCACACAGAACCCAGCACTCCCCCCAGGCCCCGCCCCGCCCTGCCCCCAGGCCCCCGCCCCGGGGCCTACACGGGCTCTTCCCTTGCAGGTCACAGGCCTTTGCTCAGGGAAGCCCGCCGGCCGCTCTGATGCGAGCCCCCCGCCCGACTCGCCAGCCCTTTCTCTGCGTTATTGTCTCTGTTGTTCTTGGTTGTCTGTCTGTCTCCCCTGTCAGCGCGGGAAGCGCAGGATCGAGTTCTGTCACCACTGCCCCCAGCACGCAGGACAGCGCCTGGCGCTCAGCGGCCTCACCGCAGCTGCGGGGTGAACGCGGGAGGGCGTGGCTGCGGACTGTCCCGCAGCAGCGAGCCCCCTGAGGGTGCCGTGGGCCGTGGCCGTGGCTTCCATGGGCCCCGGGGGCCCCGCCTGGCCGGCCTACCTGCCAGCTCCCGCTGCCGGGGCCCCACCTTGCCGGCGGCCAGGATCATGGGCACGCTGCCGAAGTAGCCGTTGCTGATGCCCATGAGCAGGGAGAAGACGCAGGGCCAGGCCGGGTGGCGCAGGGCGGGCGCGCCGCTGGGGTAGACGCACAGGATGAAGAGCGGGATGAAGACCACGCGCAGGCAGGAGCAGGCCAGCAGGTGCGTGCCCCGCCAGTCCATGGGCAGGGCCGCCAGGATCTGCGGGCGGAGCAGGCGTGTGGGCCCCGCACCCCAGCCTCCCGACGCCCTCCTGCCCCACCAGTCCATGGGCAGGGCCGTCAGGATCTGCGGGCGGAGCAGGCGTGTGGGCCCCGCACCCCAGCCTCCCGACGCCCTCCTGCCCCGCCAGTCCATGGGCAGGGCCGCCAGGATCTGCGGGCGGAGCAGGCGTGTGGGCCCCGCACCCCAGCCTCCCGACGCCCTCCTGCCCCGGCAGTCCCGGCTAGGTCCCGCCTGGTCCCCGGAACCCCGAGCCCGCACCCATGCAAACACGTCCTCCATTCACCCGGACGAGGCCGCGCAGGCCGGCCGGACACTGACCGCCTCCGCTCGCAGCTCAGGCCCTCTGGCTCCTCGAGCCGAGTCCGCAGGCCCTGCCCTCGGGGCCCTGGTCAGAGAGCTGGCAGCCTGGAGGGCGGGAGCTGCAGGCCGCGGGCACCTGACACCCCGGGCCGGGCTGGGGTCCACCAGGGCTCCCACCTGCACACCCAGGAGCCAGCGCCGGGCCTCCCTGCCCCCCTTCCCACGGCCTGCGCCCCGTGACCCCCCCCGGGCGGCGCGCACCTTGCCCACGAAGTCCGAGAGGTTGAACACGGCCATGACGAGGATGGGCAGCCACTCGCCCAGCACGCAGTGCCGGATCTCGGACTCGAGGCCGGGGAACAGGCACAGGGTGATGAAGTAGGTCACGGCGATGGACAGCATGTCGGCCCAGATGGCGCGGGCCACCACGTAACGGTGCAGCAGCAGGGCTGTGGGGGGCTCGGTCAGCACCCTCCCTCCCCCCGCACCCCCCCCCCCCCGGGCACCACCCACAGGAGCCGCTGCGCGGGCCGGGCCCACCTCGGAAGGAGGGCCAGCTCCGCTCCACTCTCGCCTGAGGCACGTCAAAGCGCGTGTAGGCTCCCTGGTCGCCGGCGGGCACCTCGTGGACCGGGCTGTCCTTCGGGGACCCGCTGTTGGCCAGGGCCGGGCCTTGGTTCTCCTGGAGGATGGGGTGTGTCAGGGTTTGGGGGGGTCCCTGCTGTTCTTACTTCCCCAACACAGAGCTCTTCCCGCCTGAGCCTCGCAGCCTTCCCCTCTGTTCCCAGTGCCGGGCCTGTGGCCCTGCACGCCTCCCTCCCCGGCACACGCGGGGTCTCAGCCTGGGGCGCCTCCTCGGGAACCCCCGGACCAGGAAGCGGCCCCCAGTTCCCGTCCTTTCCCAGCGCGGGTCTGTCCCAGCACGCCGCCCTCTGCCGCCTCGGGGTCTGAGATCCAAGGGGGACTGTCCCGGGCTCACTGGCCCAGGGGGAGACTCGCCGGTCAGCGTCCCTGCGAACGCCCCGCTCTCCCCGCCCCGCCCGCCAGGGGGCGGCCTCCTGAGCCGCGGCCTCCGCCCGGGACGCGGGGTCGCAGACACGCGGGGCTGCCAGGACCAGCCCTGGGTCCACGCGAGAAAGGAGGCGCCGGGAGGAGCCGGGGCGCCGGCGGGACTCACGAAGCAGACGTCCCCGGCGGCCACGTCGTGGTGCACACGGTAGCCCCGGGGGCCCGCATGGCCGTCGCGGGGCCGCGCCGTGTGGTGGCGCACGAAGCGGCTGCGCCAGACCAGCAGGTGCAGCAGGAAGCAGAGCAGCTCGAGGCCGGCGGAGACCAGGAAGAAGATGAGGGTGCTGGCGCGCTCGCCCCGCAGCAGCAGCTTGGTGACGATGCGGCTCAGGGACACCATCACGCCCGCCGTGCCTGCGGGAGGGCGGGCTCCCCTCAGCCCCGCACAGCCCCCCTCAGCCCCTGCACCCCCATTAGCCCCCCACACACCTCTCAGCCACGCACAGCCCCCCTCAGCCCCCCTCAGCCCCTGCACCCCCATTAGCCCCCCCACAAATCCCCCTCAGCCCCACACAGCCCCCCTAAGCCCCTGCACTCCCATTAGCCCCCCACACACCCCTCAGCCACGCACAGCCCCCCTCAGCCCCCCTCAGCCCCTGCACCCCCATTAGCCCCCCCACAAATCCCCCTCAGCCCCACACAGCCCCCCTAAGCCCCTGCACCCCCATAGCCCCCCACAAACCCCCCTCAGCCCCCGCACCCTCCCTCAACCCCCGCACAGCCCCCTTCAGCCCCTGCACACACCCCTCAGCCCCGCACAGCTCCCCTCAGCCCCCACACACACCCCTCAGCCCTCGCACACCCAGCCCACTGAGCCCCCCTGCACAGTCGCCCCCAGCCCTGCCGGTCCTGGGTTGCTCTACCCGTGGGCCCCTCTCCTGCCTGGGCACCAGGCCCTCTGCCTCCACTCCAGTCCGCCCAGCGCTGCCCAGCCCCCAGACAGGCAATGAGCTGCCACCACGTGCCCACCCAGACCACCTCCCCGACACGGCTGCTCACTCCCCGGGAGCACTGGCCAAGTGCCTGCTGGGGGCACAGCGGGGATGGCAGGGGAGAGAGGATGCAAACAGCAGCGGGGATGGTGGCGGGGGCAGCAGGGACCAGGGCCGGGCGGGGTGGCTCGTGGGCCGCTGCTCCGAGGAGAGCTGTGCTGAGGTGTGGCAGCCCTTGTGGTACAGGAGAGCTACCCCCAGGCACACACGGACACACACACAGAGAGACACACATGGACACACACATGCAGACACACGGACACACATGCAGACACGCATGCAGGCACAGAGACACGCATGCACATACATGCAGACACACAAACACACACATAGACACACATGCATGCACACACATGCAGACACACAAACACACATAGACACACATGCACGCACGCACATGCACACAGAGACACAGAGACGCACACAGACGCACACAGGCACATGCACACACAGGCACGCACTCAGACACACATACATAGACACACATGCATACACAGAGACATGCACGCAGACACACACATGCACACATGCTTGCAGACACACATGCACACAGACACACACATGCAGACACACACATGCACACAGGCGCACGTGCACGCACACACATGCTGACACAAAGTGCACGCCACATGCAGGCGTAGGCACTCCCAGACCCAGGCCCACGCGTGGAGGCACAGCTTCCCAGTGACACGGCTGCCCCAGCCAGGCCGGCCCAGAGCTGGTGACCCTGGGAGGAGCCTCAGAGGCCGGGCAGCCGGTGCCCGCCAGCCCCCGCCCCCGGGGCTGCCCATACTCACTCTCCCCGGTCATCACCCCCTGGGTGTACCGCTTGGGCAGCATCCCCGTGTACCCGTAGAAGCTGGATTGCTGCACTTGAGAGAGAGAGGGAGGGAGAGAGAGGGGAGCGGCCATGACACCGCTAGCTCCTGCAGCGGAACACACGCCCCAGGTTGAGAACACTGCGGGCGCGGGCGCGGGCACGGGCAACAGGACACCGTCAGCACCGCTGGGGGCGGAGGTGCGGGGCCCGGCCACCTCGCTGGCAGGGAAACAGCTCCGTCCCCAGGCGGGCGTGTCCTGCCCCCCTCGCACCCGTCTCGGCGCAGCCGGGCGCCCTGACCCGTCTGCCCGATGAAATGACACGCTCCCTCTGCGTAAGGCAGAGAAAAGCCCCGTGGACGCCCAGTCTCTCTGCCCCCGCAGCGGCGACCGGAGGGGCCCACGGTACAGATGGGGCCACTGTCCGCCCGCGTTGCTGGAGACTGAGTTCCATCCACGTGTGGAATGTGGAGCAAGAGCCAGAGAGAAGTCTTGTTTTTTCAGCTGCTGAGCTTTCTGGCTCACTTGCTGCTGCAGCACAACCTCTCTCATCCTCACCGACACGGGGACAGGGAGCGGGGCAGGGCAGTGAGCAAGTCCCCGCCCAGGGCAGCCCTGAGCAGGCGGGGCTGCCCGCTCCTACCCGCACTGGATTTGGTTTTGTTTTTTGTAAATTCAGTTTAATTGAAACGAGAAGAAACAGACTGACCCAATGTAGCTTGCAGCGTCTCTAAACATGATTAACTCTGGAGTCTCTCAGAATCACCTGAGAGTTGCCTGCAGGCTCAGTAATCACCTACCAGCACTTGTTTTCTTAACACAGACCTGAGTACCCTGCCCGGGGAAGGACATTAGCTCAAGAAGCCTTGGTCTGCCCAGCCGATGAGGCTGAGCATCGACCTATGAACCAGGAGGTTTGATTCCCGGTCAGGGCACAGGCCCAGGTTGCGGGCTCGGTCCCCAGTGTGGGGCGTGCAGGAGGCAGCCGATCAGTGATTCTCTCTCACCATTGATATTTCTAACTCTCTCTCCCTTCCTCTCTGAAATCAAGAATAATAATAAAAAAACATATTTTTAAAAAAAGCAGCCTTGGTTTCATTCACACCAAATGGCTCCCTGGCTGAGGCGCCCTTAGCCCTGGGCCTTGAAGCTGGGAGGAGGGAAAGGGAGGGACCGAGCCGCCACCTCCCACACCAACGGGGCAGGGGTGGGATGGGCCAAGGACACGAAGAGGCTCAGGGCCCCCACCTGTCCCTCCTCCCTCCCCCGGCCCCTACCTGTGCAGCCAAAGGCCACGGTGCCCACAGCGGCCAGGTTGATGGCATAGGCCTGGTGCCTGGAGAAGAGCTGCAGCCACACGTCACAGATGCTGATAAAGAGGAGGGGACCCAAGGCCAAGAGGTAGCCTGCGGGGGAGGGACGGGAGTGGTCGGGGGTGGGGCGGGCTCCACTCGCCCACCTCTCCTGCCGTGCCAGGTGGAGGTGCCCTCGCTCTGCCACTGCCCTTCATACCCGGGTTGCTGGGATGCCTTGGGGTCTAAGAGGGGCACCGGAAGGCTTCCTGGGGGAGGTGCCGGCCCTCGAAGCTGATGTCAACAGAGAGGAGTGGGAAAGGGACGCGGACGAGGCCGAGGGGAGAGCTGGGCCCGGGACGACAGGGCCACGAACCTCCCAGGCACAGACAACGCGCTGGCGCGCGGGGCACCCACCACGGGCCTGGCCTCGTGTCCACAGAGTCCTGCACGCTTCCCAGGGGCCCGTGTTGCAGGCAGGAGCGAGGTGCGGGAAGCGGGGTGAGTGGGGGGCGGGGGCGCACCGGCCGTGATCCTCGTGTGCAGGCTCAGCCGCTCCACCAGCGCGTTGTTCAGCAGCACGGCCACCAGCGCCACCAGGATGTAGGTGAGGCTCATGTCGAACACGATGGAGGTGCCTGTGGGGGCAGCAGCGCTCAGGGGGGCCCAGCCCAGGCCCCGTCCCACCAGGCGCCGCCTCCTCTCCAGGATGGCCTGAGGGGCGCGGCCACCCCGTCACTCAGCAGCTCACAGCCGAGCCGGGTTCCCAGGGGGGCCGCGGCGGGGTGCGGGGTGCGGGGCTGAGCGGCTGGGCCCCCGGGGCAGCGGGCGGGCGGGACCCACCTGGGAACTTGTGGTGCAGGTAGTCCACGTCGGTGATGAAGCTGTTGTAGGGCAGCAGGAAGCCCACGCCGGCCAGCAGCATGGCGAAGTAGATGGCGTGGTAGCGGTCGTCGGGCGCCCGCCCCTCTGCCCGAGACCAGGCGCAGGTGAGCCCGCACGGCCGCCGCCCCCGGGGCCCCCGCCGCCCGCTCCGCACGTCTGATCCCACAGGCTGCTTCCTCGGGGCTCAGAGAGGCGCAGGCGGCCGGGCCAGAACCAGGCCTGGGCCCCTCCCGCCGGCCCTCCTCCCGGCCACTACCCTCTCCACGAGGGAGGCGCCTGCTGCCAGCGATGTGACCCAGCGACCCATCACCCCAGATGGAAGTGCACCCCGGGTCAGCACATGAGGGGCCATGTGCCTCCCCCCGGACCAGGCCCCCAACCAGAGGGGCCCCTCAGCCTGGCGCTGTCCCCGCCTGGAGAGGCGGCCGGAGGTGAAGGGGGTCCCTGGCCTGTCGCTCCGGCCGCACCCCTATCCGCCCGCACACGCCGCCTCCCGAGGGCTCGCCGGGCCACCCCCGCTTTGGCCAGACACAGGCCTCCCCGCACCTCGCTCACCGGAGTCCGTGAGAATCGGGGCGGCCCTGGCCGCACCGTCCCGGCCCCGAGCCGCCCCCGCGGCCGCCTCCTCCTCCAGCTGGCAGCGGTCGAAGCTGAAGCTCGTCACCACGCTCCTGCCCGGCCTGCCCGCCGCGCCCGGCTCCTTGAGGCGCTGGCTGCCCACGGAGCCCATGGCGCCCGGGCTGTGGAGAGAGGGGGGCTGAGGGCCCGGAGGGGAGGCCCTGCCGCTGTCCGGCCACCAAGCCTGCACCCTCCTCCTCCTCCTCCTCCTCCTCCTCCTCCTCCTCCTCCTCCTCCTCCTCCTCGCTGTCCCCCCCCCCCCCCCCCGTGGTGAGCCCTCCGCCCACATGTCCCCTGCCTGCCTGGCGCGGCGGGCGCGGCGGGAAATAGACGGAGGGAGAAGCGTTTTGGGGGTTTGATGCCAGGGCTTGGCGAGCAGTCAGGGCAGACACTGCTGAACACGCACGCAGGGCCCCCAGGGCCCTCTGGGAGGAGGGGCTGTCGTCACTCCACAGCGAGGAGCGCGAGCAGTGGGGTGAACACCCCACCCGCCCCCCGGGTCTCACAGGCAGTCAAGCCGGGAGCCCCGAGGCAAACCCAGGCCTGTGGACGCGGAGCCATCACGGCCGCTCAGGGGCCACCCCTTCCCTGGCAGCAAGTCCTCCCCTCGGTCTCGCCTTCGTTTCTCTTGCTTCAGTTCACACCTGCCGGCCCTTCTCTTTGAAGGAAAGAAAGGAGCTAACTGATCGGCGAGGGAGAGACAGCCCGGTGCGCGCCTGCCCCCCCCCCCCCCGGCCCTGCCCACCTGTGTGTGTGGGGGGCAGTTTGTTACTTAAAATGTTTATCAACTTGTGTTTCTCATGACCTCACTCATTTATCTGACCGCAAAGAGGACTGTGCTCCCTGGAGAGGATCGAGACGGAGACGGGCACCGTGGCATCAGCCCTGAGAGCGGCACCGCTGGGTCCCGGGGCCCCACGTGCTCGGGGTTACCACAAAGCCCTCCAGGAGGGCCCACAGCTGCGCTCAGCCCGCTCCCTCTCTCTTTCCTTTTTGTTTGTTAATCCTCACCCGAGGATATTTTCTCCCTTGATTTTCAGAGAGAATGGAAGACGGGAGGCAGCAGGGGAGAGAGAGAGAGAGAAACATCGATGTGAGAGACACAGGACTGGCTGCCTCCTGCACGTGCCCTGACTGGAGCCAGGGATGGAACCTGCAATCCAGGTACATGTCCCTGACCTTGGCCGGGATTTGAACCTGTGACCTTCTGGTGCTCAGGCTGACGCTCTAACCACTGAGCGACCAGCCAGGGCATCCCTCACCTCCCTTTCTGCCTGCGCATTTCCTTCAGCTCTCCTGCCTCAGTTTACCCCCTCCCTAGCCTCCAGGGGCTGCCCACGGTGCCCCTCTCCTGGCTCCCCTTAGACTTTTATGGGCGCCAGGGCCGTCCCTGCTTCCAGGTTGGTCCTAGGGGTGGGGCAGTTCTGCCCCCCAGCTGGGGCTGGCCGGCTGGTGGGCACCATGAGCAGTGGGCAAGGGGCGGGGCTTCTCCCTCTGGCGGCTGGGAAGCCAGACACCCTCCCGCAGGACCCCTTCTCCCCGAGCCCCGCCCTGGGCCTCCGCCACAGCTGGGGCCAGCCGAGCAGGGCTCCGGGCGAGCTGGGCCCGGATTTAGATCACTGTGGCCTCGGGCAGGGTCCCCCTGGAGGCCTGGAGACCTCGGCGCCCACACGCGAGGGGCCAGGAAGGGGCCAGCGGCAGAGCGGCGGCTGCCACCACAGGCTCCGCCTGCCGGGATGGAGGCCCCGCACCCGGCCCAGGGCCTGCTCAGCAGATTGGGAGACACCCCGCGGACAGTGTCGCCTGGCCTCCGCCTGAGGTCTCTGCCCGGCTGGCAGGCTGTGCCACCGGGAAGGCGATGGCTCAGCATCCAGCCAGGAGGGGCCCATCCTGCCCGGCTCAGCAGGAAGCAGGCAGCGGCCGCACACACGGGGCCCAGCCACCATCCCCACGCACTCCCCAGGCCCCTCCTGGAGGAGGGGGGCCCTGGCTCCCCTGCTGTTAGCCCAGGGCCCTAACAGGATACTGTGGCCGGGGCAGGGCCAGGCTGCGCAGGTGGCAGCAGGGGGTGCACTGAGGAGGCGCCCCCACCTCTCCGGGCCACAGGCTCCAATCCCCCCTCCCAGGTCCTCATGTTCAGAGCCTCAGGTTGCCCCAGCCCCCTCCTCCTCCCCTGTCCCCCTTTAATTAAACTTTAGAGCAAGCACAGGGGCTGAAAGAGGCAAGACTGGACGGGGCTTTCCTCTGCCCCCCACTCCCTCTGGGACCCCCTCTGTGGCCCCCCCAGAGGGCCCTGAGAGACCACAGGCCACCCCTGGCCTCAGTTTCCCCACCTCCCAGCTGTGGCCGAGGACGGTGGCGTCCTCCCGAGAGGCGTGGCTCCAGGGAGGGCGGCCTCAGGGAGGGCCCGGCTGCCACACACCACCACGTCCAGGCACGGCGGGCCGGGCTCCCAGCCCCACAGTCCCCAAACCGGCTCCTGCCTCACTCCGTGGCGGGCAGCTGAGCAGAGCCACGCCCAGGGCTTGTGCCCGCTGACCCCCGCTGGTCCCGTTTGGCTGTGACTGAGTGGACGCTGGCTCTGAGTGTGCCCGGGCACTGTGAGGTGTGGGGTGCCCGGACCCCCGGCCAGGTCCACCCTCAGAGCCGGATGCAGCTGGGCAGCTGGCCGCCCTTGGCCGCCCGCCCCGTGCCCAGGCCGGCCAGGAGCTCTCTGCTGCCCGCCCCCCAATCCTGCCCAAGGACAGTGGGCTTAGATGCGGGGTCACCCCTTTCCGGAGCCTCCCAGGTTGCTGCGCGGGCCTGGCGCTGCCGGGGCTGGAGCCAGGAGCCGCCCCCCCTGGTCCCCGCAGTTTGCAGCGCTCGCAGCACCGCGCCCCCGCCCCCCTCTGTCTGCCCCGCCCCATCCCAACAAAGTTGGCTCCCAGGCCCGCGGCCCTGCAAAGGGCAGACCCCCTGCGAGGTGCCCGCCCCTCCCCGCACAGGCCCCGCCTCTGCCAGCGGCCTGTCCAGGAGCGGGGACAGGGGGCCGTGGGAAGGGCGAGGGGAGAGAGGGGGCAGGGGGGACTGCAGGTGCGAGGACCCTGAGCCCGTGCCGTGCTGTGCCCGGGAGGAGGGGCGCCCGGACCCGAGCAGGGCAGGCCGGGGCCACGGCCTCTGCCGCTTCCCAGGGCGGGGCGGGCGCTCGCAGCCGGGCTGATGGGGGGTGGGAGGCCCCCCTCCCGGGACGGGGCGTGGGTGGGGACTTAGGGTCCCCAGGGTCACGTGCCCGCTCCCTGGACTTGGCGGCCGAGCCGGCGGAGCGGGGCCGCGCGCCGCAGACAAAGGCTCCGACAGGTCCCCGCATCCCGGCCGCCCCGCCCGCCGCCTCCGCGGTCCCCGCTTACCTCGGCCTGGCCCGGCCCGGGGTCCCCGGCGCTCTGCACCCGTCCGCGCCCGTCGCCCCGCGCCGGGACCCCTGGGCGCCCGCTCCCCCCACCCCACGCCCCGCCTCGGGCCGGGCGCCGCGGGCGTCCTGCGTGGGTCCCGGTCGGCCGGCCCCCAGGTCGGCGTGCGCGTCCCGGGGGCGCAGAGGCAGCGGCGAGCACAGCCGGGGGCCCGCGCTCCGCCCCCCGCGGAGCCCCGCCCGCCTCCCCCCCGCCCCCCCCGCCCCCCCCCGCCCCGCGGAGCCCCGCCCGCCTCCCCCCGCCCCCCGCCCCGCCCGCCCCCCGCGGAGCCCCGCCCGCCTCCCCCCGCCCCCGCCCCCCGCGGAGCCCCGCCCGCCTCCCCCCGCCCCGCCTCCCCTCCCCTCCCCGCGGCTCCGCAGAGGCGGGCGGGGCCGAGCTGAGTCTCCCGGACCCCAGAGGGGGGCAGTGGCGGCGACCCGGTGACCTGCGGCTGACCTAGCGCGCCCGGCACCCCCTAACCCCAGGCCTGGGACACCCCCCGACCCCCGCCCCCAGGTCCGCAGAGAGGAGGCTCCCGCGCGGGGTAGGTGAGCCGGACAGGTCTCCCCGGGGCAGACTCAGAGTTTGGGAGCCCCTGCGCTGGGGGCCCGGGGATCCGTCAGGTTTAGGGGCTGCGGCGGCTCCCGGTGCTCCCCGGCCGGCCCCCGGGCTCTCGGTGCTCCCCGGCCGGCCCCCGGGCTCTCGGTGCTCCCTGGCCGGGCCCCGGGGCTCCCTGGCTGGCCCCCAGGCTCCCGGGGCTCCTGGCTGGCCAGGGGCTGAGGCTGAGCATGGGCATCAGCTGAGTCCCCTCTCCACCCAGTGCCGTCAGCTGGGTGCGATTCCCACAGGTGCATGCGGGCTGCTACCCGGCTGCCCGCCCCTCACTTTCAACCAGACTAGCTCCTCCTCCCGCCTGGACCGCCCAGCGTCACCCGGGAGCTCCCCCCGCCCCAACCTCCCAGCTGCTTCTGCCTGCACCGTGCCCGCACCTGCTCACAGGGCTGTGCCCATAACTTGGAAGCCTGGGCGCCCAGAGCAAAGGCCTGGGGCCCATGGCGGCCTGGCACACAGCAGGAGCCTCATGTTTGCGAGCTGGGTGCGGGATACGGGGATGGAGTTAAGTGTCCGCTGGGGTCGGCCCAGGGTGGGGTGTGTCCCCGCTCTCTGGGCCAGGGGTGGGGCCAGTTGACCCAAGTCATTACTTCTAATCCTCACCTGAGGGTATTTTTCCATCTGTTTTCAGAGGGAAAGACAGAAATATCCATGTGTTGGATTGGTTGCCACCTACCTGCACGTGCCCAGACCAGGGAGGAGCCTGTAACCGAGGTCCGTCCCCTCTATCTGACCCTTCCGTCTATAGACTGACGCTCTACCCACTGAGCCAAACTGGCCAGGGCCAAGTCATTACTCTTTTTTTAAAAAAATATTTTATTGATTTTTTACAGAGAGGAAGAGAGAGGGATAGAGAGTTAGAAACATCGATGAGAGAGAAACATCGATCAGCTGCCTCCTGCACACCCCCCACTAGGAATGTGTCCAAAACCAAGGTACATGTCCTTGACCGGAATCGAACCTGGGACCTTTCAGTCCGCAGGCTGACGCTCTATCCACTGAGCCACACTGGTTAGAGCCAAGTCACTGCACTTAAAGGGATGAGTCTGATGCTGCTTCGGGCCTGGAGACGGTGCCGGAAGCCATGCCGAGCTGTTCTGGGTGTGGGTAACAATTATTCGTGTGTGTAACACGCTGCCTTATTTATCTATTTATCATTTATATTTATTTATTATTTTAAAGATTTTTTGAGAGGGAGAGAGAGAAATCACAGATCAGCTGCCTCCTGCACACCCCCTCCGGGGATGGGACCCAGAACCCAGGCCTGTGCCCCGACCCAGAATCAAACCAGCAACCTTTCGGTTGGTGCCTAGGACGATGCCAGCCACCCGAGCCTCACCGGCCAGGGCATGTGACGCTGTTTTAGACATGCAGGGGACGCACTGGGGTGTCTGTGCGAGGCGGGACCCTGTCAATCAACAGGCAGTCCGTTTAGGAAGCGTCAGGGGCCTGGGAGGGAGTCAGGCAGGTGGGCTGGACGGTGATGGACGGGATAGTCATGTGTGACTGGGGATGGGCGCCTGCCTAGGGGTCAGGAAGGCCCCTCAGAGAAGGTGACACTTGAGCTCAGAGGCCTGAGGCACCCGTTGTGGGCAGGTCTGTGGCTGGGGTGTTCGGGCAGAGGACGGAGCCAGTGCAAACTCCTGAGGCCAGAAACACTCCTCGAACTCAAGACAGAGGGAAGGTGGGTGCAGGGGACAGAGGAGGGGCCTTCCCAGGAGTGAAGCTGGGCGGCGGGGGGCCAGCCTGGGCGTGTTACTGGGAGGAGGGGACGTGCGGGACCTGGGTTTTGAAAGCTAAGATGCTGGTTGGGGTGCAAACTGGAACAACCCTCTGGAAAGCAAATTGGCCTGAGAAATGCTCCCCCTTTGATCCAGAAAGTCTAACCCAGGGAAATGATTCCAAACACAAACAGGGTTTTTATACAAAGATCTTCCTCTCAGCAGCCAAACATTGCAAGTGGCCAATTACCTAAGGCGAGTGGCCGGGAGTACCCAGCACGGCTGTCGCCTTTGAGAAACCCAGAGCCCGGCCGGGTGGCTCAGGGGTGAGCATCAACCAGGAACCAACAGGTTGGCGGTTCGATTCCCGGGCGGGACACATGCCCGGGTTGGGGCTCGTCCCCAGTGCGGGGCGTGCAGGAGGCAGCCGGTCGGTCGATGATGTTCCTGTCCGTGATGTTTCTATTTCTTTCTCCCTCTCCCTTCCTCTCTCCCTAAAAATCACTTAAAAATATTTTTTTAAAAAAGAAAAACCCAAGAAAACCAGTGGAATCATGTGTCACCACAGAGAGAAACCCGAGGTCACGAGGCACATAGAGTCACGTGGGCGCCGGGGTGCGGGAGTGGGCGCCGGGGTGCGGGAGTGGGCGCGGGGTGCGGGAGTGGGCGCGGGGTGCGGGAGTGGGCGCCGGGTGCGGGAGTGGGCGCCGGGGTGCGGGAGTGGGCGCCGGGGTGCGGGAGTGGGCGCGGGGTGCGGGAGTGGGCGCCGGGTGCGGGAGTGGGCGCCGGGGTGCGGGAGTGGGCGCCGGGGTGCGGGAGTGGGCGCGGGGTGCGGGAGTGGGCGCCGGGGTGCGGGAGTGGGCGCCGGGGTGCGGGAGTGGGCGCCGGGGTGCGGGAGTGGGCGCCGGGTGCGGGAGTGGGCGCCGGACACGGGACACGGCGAGACACACACAGGCCCTGTGCACTTTTGCCAGGACACCGGGGAAATGCGGGTGGGCAGTCCCGCTGCTGTGGGGCGGACGGTCCATGCGGGCGCTTCCTGAGAGGAGCGGGGACCTTCGTTACCGCACGGCCCTCGGCCCCACACCCACACCGCAGGCCTGGTGCTCCCCAGACACCGGTCCCCCCACCCTCAGAGAAGAGGGAGCCCCTCCCCCTCCCCCTCCTCCCCCTCCTCCCCCTCCTCCTCCTCCTCAGTGAGAACACGGCACTGGGCTCTTATTAAAAAGAAAGAAAATGACAGAGATGAGGGCCAAGCGGGGAAGATATTTGCAACAACACAACGGGCGGTGGGCTTCCTTCCCGAACAGACACGGAGCCCCTACGAATAAAAAGAAAAAGGCAGCCAGCGGAGAAGAGTCTAGCATCTGAGACGGTGACTTACAAAACAGAGGAACCACAATGGCTTCAACATCTGCAGACCTGCCCAACCCCGCACCTGGCTTTACAGGCACAGGCTGAAGCGAGGCCGAGGGCCCGCTTTTCTCGTAGCTCGGGGGCAGGCCCGAAGGTCTGAGTGGGTCCCGAGAGGAGAGGGGAGGCCTCCGGGTGGTGGAGCTCATTTACACCAGTTCCTCTGGCAGCAGACGAGGCGCATCAATCAAAAGTGTAAACGCGCAAGCCCTTCGTGCGGGTCTGCTTTCGAGAACTTCCACGGCATCGGGCGTGCACGCTTGCTCCAGGCCGGGCGGCCAGGGCATGCCCCTCCTTTTACAGCAGCGAAGCCCAGAACCCGCCGACATGCCCGGAAGCCCAGCCACGTGCCATGCAGTCGCTGGGAGAAGCAGCGCTGCCTGGGCCAGCCGAGCGGCTGACGGAGGTAGTGTTGGGTTTTTAAAGCGTAAGGTGCGGCTGGCGCTGTGGCTCAGGGGCTGAGCACCGTCCGTGCCCCAAAAGGTCACCGTTTCGATTCCCGGTCAGGGCTCATGCCCAGGTTTCGGGTTCGGTCCCGGTAGGGGGTATGCGGGAAACAGCCGATCGATGTTTCTCTCTCCCTCTCTCCTCCCTCTCTTTCTCTCTAAAATCAATAGAAACATATTTTTTAAAAATACAAATGAAAGTGTAAGGTGCAGTAACATGTGTGCTGGCTAATGTTATGTGTCAGCGTGGCTGGGCCACACACACACACACACACACACACACACATGCCTGTGGGGTCTGTATCTCTGGACCCCCCGACTCACCAGGGCAGAGCATGCGGCCCCGAGTGCCGGCAGGTGGGAGCGTGTGTGAGATGGCTGACCAGACCGGTCTCCACGCCGTGGAGGGCAGCTCGGCACCGAGAGGAACGCGCCCCTGACGCCCCACCCACCGGGACGGACCTCAAGTGCACGGTGCTGAGTGAGACAGACACGGAGAACACGCATCCTGGGCTCCGTTCACAGCGGTTCGAGGCCAGCGGCCTGAATCCGAGGTGGCCAAGGTGGCGATGGCCGTGGGAGGGTGGGGGACGAGGGGACCCACGGGGTAATGGTCAGACTCTGCATCTGGAGAATGTGTCCACCTGTCAAAACTCAGCACACGCTCAGGGTGGGTCTGCGCACTTCACTGTGGGTAAATCTGCCCAAAACAAAACAAAAAGCAAAAGCAAACGTGACCTGTGCCAGGCGACAGGCATGCTGGGGGCCCCGCGCACGTGTCTGTGACCGACTGTGACTCCACTGGGAGTGAGTGGACAGGCGGCGGGTGGGAATGGAGACGGACGCCATCAGACGCACACGCGCGGACGGCAGCAGGAGCACGGTCCCGCCCGGCTCTTTCCACTCCCCCCCCGTTGACACTTGTCCTAATAAAATGCTGGGGAGAAAGGAGG